CTGATTCACACCAGAACACTTTTTCACTGGAGGAAGTGTTATTATGGACTCATGTGATGTTTTTATCAGCTGTTTGGACTCTCATTCTGACTGCACCCATTCACTTCTGAGACACTGCTGCAGTGCTGCATTTCTCCAGACCTGATGAAGACACACTCCTCCTGACCGGAGGCTGATGCGGGACACGGAGCGTCTGTCAGACCTGGAGCGGCGCTCTGCTGCGTGGAGCTGGAGCTCTCTTGTGATGCTTGTGTGAGGATCAGCGGCTCCTGCTCCGTCTTCACCGACCGGATTTCCTGAACTCCACCTTCCACTCCATCGTCTGTTACAGACACACACGAGGAGCTTAGAAACCCATCAGCGCGGCTTCTTCTGAGAGGACTTGTGTGTGCTGCACTGCACTATTTGATGTTCTACATTATTTAACGATTTAAATTGGTTGTACATGTATGTTTACTTATTATTTCTTTATTGTACCCCTTATATACCAATAAATAAGTAAATAAATAGTTGTTTCTGAAACTGTTTTTCTTCAACATGAGCTACAAACAGCTGTCGGTGGTGTCTGATGTAATATCCAGTGCTGGGAAGGCTACAGATGACTACTTACCCAGTTTCAAATGTAACAAGTAGAGTAACTATATCAATTACTTTATTAAAGTAATGTAACGGATTACATTTGATTACTTTTCTAAATTTCTAACAAATGTTTTCAACAGTTTTAAACATTCTTCTTCACTTGAATTAAGATAGAGATATATATATATAAAAATTATAATAATTTTAAAGCAGGGCCATCACGAAATCAGACTTCAGCACATATTTTTACTTTGAGATCGTTCTGAGGATTAACACAGATTTAAAATCATAACAAGACATAGTTTAATAGCTATGATACAGTTATTGAAATCAGATCTGTGTACAGCTATGACAGCAAACACTGGGAGAAAACAGTTCCTCTTTAAAACGATTAAACACAAACCCTAACAGAAGATGAAGCAGTTATGAAATAAGCATGTTAGAAAACACTCTCTGTCTGTATTGGTTCCAGATGTTTTCACCCTCCTTTTCTTCTCTCTCCCTCTCTGCTCGCCCTCCCTGTACAGAGCAATGTTGTCTTCTTCTGATTCCCCCCTCCTCCATCTGATCTCTCTCTCTTGTATTATGTTTTAATATCTCTTACTCATATTCGAGGTACGCATGCGCACACGTATGCATTAGCTTTCTGAGTTCAAATGTTCAAATGAGGACACGATAGCTAGGACTCCAAGGTAATGGGGTTCGTGCTGAACTATGGATATAGTTCAGCATCCTTCGCCAAGTTTATTCCTAATATGTCCATATCTTCCTGTACATGTGACCATTTTATATAACACATATTCTTGGCCAAAATCCTATATGTATGTCATCTATATCCTCATTGGTTAAAGGGTTGAAACTCCCCTCGACATATGCTTATATAATATCTTTGTATCTATGAATAAAGTTGAAGTATTGAGAATACAATTTGATATGTGTGTTTTCTTGCTTCCCGGCCGTATACACTTTGACTGAGAATTTTCAAGGTGGCAAAGAGACACTAAAGGGACCTTTGTTAATTGCTAACAAAGCATGTGTCCTAAACTCTCATATTTTAAAGCAATCAATGCATTTTTGGAAATAAAGCAATCTAATCTGTATGCGCGTGAACATATTCGTTAACATTTTCATAAGTAACTGTAACTTAATTACAGCTTTCTCAGTAACTGTAACAGATTACGGTTACATTGATCTTGTAATGAATTACATTAAGTCGTCTCGCTTTTATCCAAAGTAGTAACATTCGAAGAGGACGCAACAAGTTCACCAAAGCTGTCCTGAGACACAACAACGCTTTGAAGACGCGCCCTCACCTTCCTCCTCCTCCTCCTCTTATAATGAAAAACTATGAAAAATGTATAGCAAGCATTCATTGTTAGAAAAGATCATTTATGCCATGTACAGTAAATGCTCTACAAGTTTTAGGCATTCATTTTAACATATATACACCAAATATTTTGACCATACTTTCTTCTTTCACAGCAGGAGCACATTTTCTGAGAGACACCAGGACTGCAGCCGACTGCTGCGCAACAGACATGGAAACAGACTTATATATATATATACCACCGAGTACCTGGAGCTGCACTAAACTGCACGCGCCCATCAGAACACATTGGCACGCGCCACTGTGGTCATCCATCTGACCATGAGCCAGCTCTTCCTGGAGACCTTCCAGGCGTATGTGAAGAGGAATGCGGTTTACAAGTGTCCAAGTGGACAGGTGAGCACTGAAACCATCGGGACACAGCACCACACACAGAATCCCACCTTTTAAAAATATGAATACTAGTGGACTCTCTCACTTAATTCTTTTGGTAGACTTTTCCAGATTTTTGGAGCATTATGGCTAACAGAGGTACCACCAGATCGCTTAAGATTTACTGTGCAGTGTGCCAAAAGACCAGCACTATTGTAACATTAGGAATATATGTAGACAAACAGTCAGAAATGTAAGATGGTGCCAGATTATGCAGTGTTTTATAGACTAATAAAAGATTCTTAAAATCAATCCTTTGATGAACTGGTAACCAATGTAATTCGATTAAAACCGGTTTAATAAATTAATTAATACTCTGGCTGCTGCATTTTGTATCAAGTGTAAGTTAACTATAGAAACTTTTGGTAAGCCAGTATACACAGCATTACAGTAATCAAGTCGAGAGAAGATAAACGCATGAATTCGTTTCTTAGCATCATTAAAAGATAAAAAAAGGAAGAATCCTGGTAGTGTTTCTCAGGTGATAGAAACAAGTTTTTGTCACTTGATGAAACTCAAATCACAACCCAAAATAACACCCATAACATCTGGGCTCAACCGAAATATATAATTGAATGTCATCAGCATAAAGATGATCATTCATTTCGAATTTCTAAATAATGCTGCCTAGAGGAAGCATATATAATTCAAATAAAACTGGGCCAAGATTTGATCCTTGTGGAACACCATATACTATGTCATAGTTCTTTGATGTACAATCACCTATATTCACCAAAAAGCTCCTTTCTGTAATATACATTTCAAATCCATTTAAGACATTACCAGAGAAACCTATACAGTTTCCCAATCTGTTAATGAGAATGTCAAATGCTGCACTTATATCTAAGAGGAGTAAAACGTCTCAGGTTACGTATGTAACCCTAGTTCCTCGAGGGAACGAGACGCTGCGTCGGAAACGCTAGGGGAACGCCCTTCAGCGTGACGGGCTCTGAACCTCGTGTGTAATCAGACCAATAGATGGGCGAGACGTCACGGCGGGTGACATAATGACCAGGAAGCTATAAAAGCACATGCGGTGAGACCAGCGTCAGCTTCTAGGAATGAAGCAAGCACTGGCAGGGACGCCGGAAGTATGGCACCGCGACGCAGCGTCACATTCCCTCGAGGAACTAGGGTTACGTACGTAACCTGAGACTTTCCTCTTCAGGAACTTGAGCTGCGTCGGAAACGCTAGGGGAACGCGACTGCCTGACTATTTGGTCTAAACATTTGGTCTGGTTGAGCGCATAGAAATCAGAAGCCGTATTCACAAAAAATATTGTAAGGCTAAAAATTGCTCCAAATGTGGAAATCCCTCCTAACTTGAATTCTCGTAAATAGCTCCTAAACCCAGGACTGCTTAGAAGTCCTTCTGAGGATCCTAAAAGACACTTAAAAACGATCAAAAGCACAGCTAAGTGTTTATACTGGAATATTACAACGACATCCACCTTTCACAGAGATCCGGCCTGGATCACAGCTGTTTTCTCTTTGTCTTGTGTTTGGTGGTTCTGTATTATCCAGCGCTATGTCTATTATTCTGCACTTGCACTGCTAAAGCTGCAGGCAGCGACGGAGGACAGTAGAGAAAAAGCACAAGCCAACCACTTCTGTCAGCTGCCCTTCTGTGGGCATCACAAGCTGAAACACCTGCTTCACCGACCCGCCTGATGAGCATATAGAGCATGTATAGAGTGCATCCAGGAGCTATTCACAGCGCTTCACTTTTCCCACATTGTGTTGCTATCACACTTCACATTGGGACGCAGCTACAGTCATGTTACAGCCTTATTCCAAAATGAAATACTTTGAAAGAAGTTTGTTTGAAATCTTTGCAAATGTATTGAAAATGGAGAGAAAAAGATCTTATTCGTGCAGCGTATTAGTGTGGACAAGGCCTCAGACAACATCAGCCCCTGATTCTCTAGTGAAGGGCACTTTTCTTCATTCTTCTAATAAACTCCAGCATATCTGAAGCACACCAAGACAAAAGTTTCTTTCTGTATTTGTGCATTTTCATTCAAATGATTCTTTCTTATAATAGTGTTTTGTACACACATCTGGTTGTGTTTCTCTTTGTGGAAACATGAGCTCTGAATTCCCTGTTGAAAAAACCAGCATATGCTGGTTAGGTATGTTTTGACGCTGGGATGCTGGTTTAAGCTGGTCCTTTGCTGGTTTAAACTGGTCCTTTGCTGGTTTAAGCTGGTCCTTTGCCAGCACATGACCAGCATAAACCAGCAAAGGACCAGCTTAAACCAGCAAAGGACCAGTTTAAACCAACAAAGGACCAGTTTAAACCAGCAAAGGACCAGCTTAAACCAGCAAAGGACCAGTTTAAACCAGCAAAGGACCAGCTTAAACCAGCAAAGGACCAGCATAAACCAGCTTAAACCAGCATCAAAACATACCTAACCGGCATATGCAGTTTTTTTCAACAGGGCTGTGTTGAATCTCTTCCTCAATAAATGCACAGCAGAGCTGTTGTATCGAGCTGATCATTGAATAGAGTTTATAAACAATGTATATGATACGAGTTTGAATAAAATGACTGATATCTTTCATGACTTATAAGCGAGTCATGTGCATGATGATGGTTTGTATGGAAGGTTTGTATTAATGTAGCACAGCTGAACAAAGACACACAGAGTGCTCTATTCTTAAAGCATTTATTTGGCTCGATTCCTTCATGTGACACACACATTCCACTGTATATGCTGTTACAACCGAAACCCAAAAGAGGAGTTTGACAAGCATAACTGTTGAGTATATGGTGCTTCCTATAGTGCTTGATAATGAACAGTATTTAGGAACACGTACAGTACAGGAAATATACAGTCAAATTACACTATTACAAAGAAGAAGAAAACCGCTTTGAATTAAATTAAAATTCTCTGTTGTTAATGTACAGCATTGCAAGTGAACGTACAGAAACCGACTCTGTCAGACATTTCAATACATTCATGATGTCTCACACACAGCACGAGGCTGACGGCATTCAGAGCACATTAAGGCACGACTGAGAAAACTACTGAAGCACTCCAGAACACAGTTAGTGATGATACTGTTGTGTGTGTGAGATGCTCTGCTTCAAATCATCAGAATACTAATGCTCACACGTCTGTTCTCAAGCCTATAAAACCCTCTGCGTGCCATTTTGAGTTGGATTGTTAATAAAAGAGTGAAATCAATAATGTGTGAAACTATAACAGCAGTGTTAAGCAAGTTAGTCTGTATGCGTGCGATGTAAAGTGCATGTGGTTCACAAGTATTGCATCTTCACAAGCACGTGTGTTTTGAGTGCAAATATAACATTTCAATGGACAGTTCAATCCATCTGATCCCTAACGCCACACCTCTGGCTTTTACAACTCTGATTTCCTACATTTCAACTTTCTTGAACTCTCTCTCCTACGATCATCTTCCACTCCCTTCTCTTTCTTTGCTGAGAAACGACAGCATCACCTGCGTCACGAATCACTCCTCCACAGACGCTCCGCACTTGCTATGATTTCCACACACAACCATGTTTCAGAACGGTCCTGTGACACTGAGCTAACACTACGTGGCTACCAGCGAACACATGTTAAGTGACAGAAGTGTACTGAGCGTCTCTGAACGTCTCTCTCTGATAGTTTACGGTGTGTGTGAGACGTTTTTTGTGTTGTATGTAACACAAATTCATGAATTCAAGTATGTGAATTATGTATTTGTGTTACATACACTAGAGCTCAGATGCATACATGTACCTAAAGAATCGATAGTGAAGCCTGATTAAGCAGAACCAGCGGCCAAAACAAAGAGCAGAAAACACACTGTCATCTGTGAAATGTGCTCAACAACTGATTGAGAAATAGTGGCCGCAAAGACTGATGCCAATCAAAGGTGAGTTCTCAAACGTACAGAAGAAAAACTAAGCAAATGAATAGTGATGTTCAGACTGCAGACAAAGATCAATCATTTAATCTGCATGCTAAACACCGGTGTATAACCAGCAACTAAAACCTTTTATTTAGGGATGTCCCGATCAGGTCTTTCGTGCCACTGATCCAAGCCGAGTCACTGAACACTGAGTATCCATCCAAACTAATCAGTTAAAAACGCTTGTTCGGCCCCAATCCCCATCCTTGAGATCGGCTCGGGACATCCTACTCTTATTTATCATGTTTTTATTAGTTCTGTTTGTGTTTTAGTACAGTGAGAGCTATAATAAACAAAAACAAAGATAAACTGCCATTTGTTATAATTAAATGCGTTTACTTGGAAAGCCTGTGGAATTAAGCTGAAGTCTGCAGTTATCAGATGGTTTCAGTCATCAGTAATCAATCATTTCTATTCTGAATTGTCGGCTACAGTATTTCCCTCGATAGATGCTACAATGTTTGACAGTTACTCTATTAGCTGTTAGTATCGGGTTCACCGTGTACCGGCCATGGTTATTATCATACAACAAAATAATCAGGTATTAGGGACAAAATATCAACATGACATGGTAATAAAAAGTTAAAATTGAAATGTTTTAAGCACAGATCAAGACAAATGCTGACACTGTCAGACACAATGCAATATATCACCTATTTTACATACAGTATGTATATAATATATCACTTCTATTCAAATGTTTACATGTGAATACAAAAAGTGGACAGATTGAATCTTGAAGGTTGGTCTGTGATATGCAGTCTGTACTTTCACCAGCAGCAGCCTGTGAATGGAGACCATCACCAGCTGAAGAGAGTGCTCTGTCCTAACGTCATGAAGTAGATCTGACTGCTTCCACCCGACTGCACCGCCGCGAAAAACACCTGCACACACACACAAACACACACACACACACACACGCACGCACGCACACACAAACACACACACATGTTCCATTTCTGTGCTTTCCATCATCTCATGATGCCTGTAATAATTCTTTGTCCTGTGAGAATAATCTGTAGAGAATTTCTGCATTGCTGAATGTGATATTACACAAGCGTATAGAGATGTTTTCTTACTTTATCGTTTCTCTCACACAGGAACTTGAGCTTCTGAGCCTTCTTGTGCATGAAGACTCCCTCTAGACTGCCCGTCTTGGCGGATCTCAGCTCGATGGCTTTCTCTCCCCATCCCATCACTTGATTCGACTGAAGATAAGCTGCAGATCAACAACATCACATCAACCAGAGCCAGGAATAAACATCTCCAGCTGATTCAGTTCAGTAAAGCTCAGATGATCTGGAGCAAACAGGGTTTCCATCATTGCTGTTCAACATCAGCAGATCTGAACAAGAATGAGTCTAGTTTATAGGGGTCATGAACTGAGAAACCAAAATTCCCTTGATCTTTTGACATATAAGAGGTCACTGTACTTAAAAAAAACATTGTGTAAGTTTCAGAACTCAGAACTTTCTCGGCAGTCTACCAAAACCACAGGCTGTGGGAATGTTCTACTCAATGATGTAATAGTGTGGATAAGCACTGCCTCCACAGAAGATCAACGCCCGCTTCTACATCACTGCATGTTTAGCCCCGCCCACAGAGTCTACATCACTGCCTGTTTAGCCCCGCCCACCGAGTCTACATCGCTACATGTTTAGCCCCGCCCACAGAGTCTACATCACTGCCTGTTTAGCCCCGCCCACTAATTGTACAGCACTGCCTGTTTAGCCCCGCCCACTAATTCTACATTGCTGTATTCTCGCATGTAGTGTTTGTGAGAGAGGCGAATGCACAGATCTATGCAGAAACCAAACGATAAAATGCTCTGAAGACAAGAAGATGCTGTTCAGAGTCAAGTTGTGGAAAAAACAGTCTTTCATTGCTTTCCTTCTGATCCCAACATTAGGAAAGAGTGGATGAACTTTATTTTTAATAATGATCCAGACTGCGTCAGTAAGAACTCAGTTCTTTAACTTCATTTTACTGCAAATTCGTTTACAAACAGGGCACAATTTGACACGGGATTTTCAGAAAGATTGAAGCTAAAAGATGATGCTGTGTGACTGTATTGGATCCGACAGTAATGTGTGAGGAACTGTTTTCATTACATGATCACTATTGATTTGTCTCTTCTTACAGATCGTCCATCTGTGAGGAATGTAGGCTGTCAATCATACACAACTATTAGCCAATCACAGCAGTGGGCGTTTACTTCTGCGTCTACAATCCTCCACAGCTATTCAGACAGAGCGTTCTGATGAGGGGCGTAAAACAGGACAGAAAATAGCCTATTACTTCTCAATTGTGATGTTTCTGATGTAAAAATCTTGATAACATTATAAGTGGACCTCAGAGAACAGTACACAAAAAACCAGAGGCAGTTCATGACTCCTTTTAAAAGCGTGTGTGAAACCATTCCAATAGCATGGTGGGACATCAACCCGTAACATAAGACGTCATTACTAGGAAGCTCAGTAAATAGTTCTGTGTGAAAGGTGTTTGTCTTACTCAGAGTTGTCTGCCCCTTTGCCAGTGTGCAATCCAAAACTATTGTAACCAAACAGCAGATTTTTGTCCAAAAAGCAAGCTTGACATGCGTTCCTTGCATGCTAATGTACAACCTCCACATCTGGGCCTGCCATTTTTTTGCTGTGATCATGAAAGAAACTTGAGTCCCTAACGAATAATTCTACCATCATGGGGTTGAAAGAACAGGGGTATGATACGGCATTGTCCCTTGAGGCCCCATCATTACCCACCAAGCCATGGAGAACAGCTTCGGCTTATAGAGCAACAGGTCAAGCTGGTGCATGCCTGAACACGATAGCTTTGAGACCTAGATGAGGGCGAGGGAGTAGACCCAGATGCAGTTTAAGAGCTGTGCTGGGCCACCACGGAGACGGCCAGATCCATCAGCTGTTCTCCGGCAGCCCTGATGGTCTCTTGCTAAACTTGTCCAATATTAAGGAAAAGGACAAGTCCTTTTTGTTGGATGCCCCACTTTCCCCCCCGGCCTCTTCAAGAGAGCTTTTAGGAGCCAAAAAATCTCCTCTTATCTTCCTCGCCGAGCTCAGGTCTCAACCAGCTCCTCATACAGGGCGCAGCATAAACAGAGTGTCGCCTCGCAAAAATGGGGTCGGGTCGGGGCGGCGCTCTCAGCCAAAGCCTGGTAAGGGGAAGAAGAACCTGAGGACCGTCATCCTCTCTAAGAAGGCCAGGAGCATCAGTCCTCTGAGGGCAGGCTGTTCCAGGGTGAAGTGGTTTACACCTTAGCATATGGTGCCCACTTCTTCTCTGTGCCTTCAGGGGACTGTTCTGCCAACTCGCTGCTTCTGGTGCTTCAGGACAGCGTTTTCCTAGCTCAATCCTTCACCCTCGCCCGGAGATGCAGCAACTAAGGGTTTGGCCCCTGAGGGGCTCCATTCATAGATTCCAGTATCTCAACTGAGGTTGTTGAGCCCATACTTCACTCCAGAGCTCCCTCCACGAGGAGTATTTTCACTTCATGTTGGAGAACAGTGTACAGCACAGTGCTGGAGCTCCTGCAGGATCGGTTATCTTAGTAACGTCTCTTAAGAGAGTAAAAAAAAAGTATTAACTTTTAATATTAACTTATTATTTTATTATAAGCTTCTATATTATTCAAGACACATTACTTTAGCTGGTGTGTTTGTTTGCCTTTACTCCGTGTGTGGTACACTTCATGACCACTTCATATAGACACCGAGAACAATAACGATATTAGCTTCACGTTTGATCGGAGCGCATGCTTCAGTTGCGTTCTCAGAAGATAAATGCATGACTTCAGCTCTGAAAGCAATGCCAAAGATATTGTTCCAGTTGTGATGTGGATTTTTGGAAACTTCAGCGTCTTTATTGTGATCAGCCTCATCCAGAGCTGAAGAACGGCGGCGGCTTTTCTCCACTCCATCTGCTGCTGTGTAGGAAGTGAGGTGACTCATCCATCCAAATGACTTGTTTTGCTTTTTCACATTTAGAGTCTCATGCACATCAGTCATTACAAGAACTTCCTTAATATGATTGCAGCTCATGAGGAGTAACATAGCTCTCGAGCTCAGATACATAAGACAATCAGATCCATACTGCACCCTGAACAGATAATCACTGTATGTTATGTGCATCATGTGAGTGAGCGAGTGTGTGTGTGTGTGTGTGGAGTGCTGGAGCTCACCCACAGAGGCGGGCATCTCCCCCCACTGCAGCACCGTCTCCCTGGTGATGCGGCCATAGGTGTCAATATAGATGCCCTCGTCCTCGTAACACAGCAACAGCTCCATCCCACTGCTGCTGGGGAGGATGATGATGGCATGCGGCCGAATCACACCTTGGATCTGAAACACACAGGCATTCTGTTATAAAGAGATTAACAGTAACTGCCTTAATAAATCCAGTCTGTGTCAGCAAATAGAATTCACAGATATGACACTCTACTGTACTGCTTATGCTATGGAGTCACTTCACCCATAGTTCCTCTCAAGTACATTTACCAGCAGGTCACCTGGTCATTACATGAAAGTAGTATTTTCATGTTAAAGTTGTAAATTATATAAAGTGGTATATTATTAGAGAAAAATTTATACTAATGCACTAATAAAAGTTAATAAAATATGCACTAATATTATGTATAGTTGAGACATCTTACATTTATGCTTTATAATAAAATCAATTAAATTATGTTTTTAAACAAAGGGGCAAATTATTAGAGAAGCAAAATTTGGAAATTGGAAGGACAAGCACTTGTCTGAAACACATTGTCATAAATAACATACAGCTACATTAGCCTGTAAATTTGACACGAATCCAAGTCAGAGTTTGCATCTTTAAAAAAAAAAAAGGGTGTTATAAACAAGTTTTGTGGGTAAAAACAATATGAGGTAAATCAGACAAAAAGGTAATTAATAAAGTCAATATTAAAATGTATCCTTCAGGCTCACTGCATAATAAATAGCTGAGATACAGAAACTTGCAGACACAAATTATTCTTTATTACAAACATACAGCAGTCAACCATTTACAAGTGCAGCCTTGGGCTACGTCTACATTAATCCGGATAACGGCGTTTTCGTTTTAAAACACTGTCCGTCCACGCTAGCGTTTTCGAGCATTTTCCAAAAGTTTCTCATCCACACTGAAATGTCAGGAAATGTTCAATTTGCTTTACTGCACATGGGTAAAGCCTCAAAAAAGCTCATTGAGACAATGCAGACAGAACAGACATGATACGTTTTCATGCAATTCTTCTGGCAGGATCATTTTATTTAGGAAAATATCTAATTCACCGACGCATTCAGGCCGCACGCACTTCTGATTGTATGTCTGATCTAAAACACAACTGCCCTCATGTTTTGCCGCAAACAGCAATCACAAGTACATTTTCTGTCATCTTTGCAGGACTGTGATATGAAGAGTCACAGTGTAATGTAACACATCTGTAGCAACAGTGTGAAAGTGAATAGCACATAACAGGAACAATACCGGTATAAACATAGATATCTATTGGTACAATATGTGTCACATGACTTCTTGTGTTTTGTGCATCGATTTATTGTCCCAGCCCTAATAATCAGAGATCCAGAAATAACTTTTTTTTTATTATACTTTTACAAACTGTTATGTATGAATACAGTTTCATGGGTTTTGTAAACCCCTACCATTGTATTTCTGAGCAATAAAAGCACTTATTAAAGGATTATTCTTATCTATGCCTATATATATATATATATATATATATATATATCTCCCTTGGCCCTAACGGGTTACTCTAGTCAAGGAAAGTTATTTAGTGCAATGCTGCGCAGTTGCTATAGTGTTCTAGATCAAATAAGGAAGACATACAAAACTGTGCAGAGGACAGGAGTTAAGAAATACTGTATTAGGTGGCTGCCAGAGCATTGCTTCAGTGTTTTGAGAGGTTTTTAGTGCATTGTTGTGTGGTTGCTTTCTGTCCACCCCCAGGCATCTATGATATCTCTTCTGGTCTCTAGACAAGGTAAATCTATGAGATTGTTTTCCATCCGTGTTATCAGCCAGGTGACGATCATGAGTCCGAACAACATTCACATACCTCTCGTAAACAAGCCACATGATTTGAGATATCATTCATGACAAATGCAATAATTAGTGTTAAGGTTTTGGTCATTATTCTAGTGATCATAAAATTCAAGTTCTCATCACAAATTGCTAATTAAGTAAATGCACTGACCATGTAAGTCTGTTTATAAGAGTGAGCTTAACACATTTTAATAGTATCAAAAGTCACAGTATGTGTAACTTTTCACTAAGTTAATACAAAACATTTTCTTAACCACTTTTACATGCAGGTCTCCCAAGCTCATGACAATAATGCATTAGAATAGACATTCTCTCATTAACACAATCGCACACCTCACACTGTACTTGCCTGACTCAGAAATAAATTGACACACACTGTGCTGCCGTCCCTCTGTAGAGCCACCACGATCCTGAGCATCAACACAGGCATCCAGAGCCGCAGAGCGATCTTTATCCTCTGCCGTGGGATTCTCATGAGCACTGCCACAGAGAGCGTGTGTTTCCAAGAGGGAGAGGCAGATTTATACGAGCGCAGAAACACTTTACTAAAGACTGTGTGCAAGTGAAGACAACAACTGTGTGTGTGTGAGAATGTGAAAAAGAGACAGAACGAATGAATGAGAGAATGGATGAGAAAATGTTGGTATGGAAACTACACGATGTAGTGCCGCTCAGCCTCCAGTTCTGTTTCACAACGCTAGTTCACTCTAAATTTATCTACTGCCTGGCATTAGGAAAAAACTCTCAAATAACAGGTCATTTCAATGGGCTTATGCTCTGGGAACGTGGCGAAGGCTGCAGTTATTTTTGGACGCGAGATCAGTTCGGAGAAACTAGCACACACACAGATTGTGAGGGTGAACTAGTCCGTGAGTATGTGGGTGAACACCACACTCATCGCTCTTCCTCTCTGTGAAGGATCGCTGTGTGGGTGTGTGGGGACGTCAGCAGCTCTATATCATCACAACATTATGTTCTGCATGCTGTGCATATTTACACAAGCTCGGAATTGTAGTGTTTGGCAGAAAAGAAATGAGTGCAGTTTTTTTTCCAGATGCCTGCTTTTGTTTAAGGGTTAATCTTTAACCCCACAATCAGAATTGATTCCTTGTGAGAAAAGGGAAGGTGTGAAATATCTACATGTGCTGGTTTTGTGATGTTACCTCATAATAGCCTGGTTTCTCCCAAGGTTTTTTTTTCTCCTTTTCAGATGAGATCAAAACTCGAACTGAATTTAGCTGGACAATGACACTATTGTCTTTGTCTATCAAAATGATAAATGTTGCATTTAGTGTTTAGATCATGTTTCAGAATGAAGGGATCCACAGACACCAGTTCCCACTGAACAGGAACTAACTGCACTACATCAGCACTGCTTCTGGTCCCAAACACCAGCTTTCAGATCTGACCTTATGTCTGCAGGCTCTTGTAAAGCAGTTTTTGCTTTAACTGTAGTTTGTTTTTTCTTCGATTTGATTCAAATAAACCTATTGGATTGTATTTCATCAATACTGTAAATATCAGAATTTGTTTATTGAGTGACTGTGTCTGTATTATTCTCTCTTACAGTGATGTAGGTATTTTCCTGGAGCATCATAATGAAATATGTATCACATGTTTTGTACTACAACATTTAATGATTGTACAATCAAATACACAGTGAATTTATCAGTATCCAGTGTGTGTATGTGATCTGAATGAATGTTTCTGTGGTATTTCATGATGATAAATGAGTTCTTTGATCAAACGGTTCAGCAAGTTTGAGGTTTCTTTAGTGATATGAAAGCACATGTGAACACTGGGCAGCCTGTGTTAAACATGACTGCTGTGAGTTTAGTGAAAAATGACATCAGTGTTCTGAAATTAGTGCCAAAGTGACTAAACAAAGTGCATCAGTCTACCAACAAAATATAGTACAAAAAAATATGTCTATAAAAGGTGGCAGATACACATTGTCCCACCATGAGTGCAGTCAACATGGGAACACATAACAGCACTACAACTGATTTTATGCATATAACATATAGTCTACGATAATATTGTAATTGTGTGATTTAGTCTATTATAGTTAATCACATGAAGAGTGACGTTTTTCTCCATTAACTGCAAATGTGATATTGATTTTATAAAACAGTCCAATAAACTAGAAGTTAATATTAAGTGACTTACATTTAATACAAAACCATTCTTGTTTTTGCTGTATTTCAACAACAAAAATAGTTCCAAATCCACAGCAGAACTGTGTTGCAACTCTGAGTAACACATGACGGTATTTCATTGCTGAATGAATCAACCGACTAAACTAATCAGTTGAATGAATGACTCAATGACTCACTCATGCAGTGATTTAAAGGGTTAGTTCACCCCTAAAATGAAAATTAGCCCATAAAAAAGTTTAATGCCACTCAGCAGGTGTTGCAGTGCATCAGTCCAAAAGAAGTTAAATAAAAAGCGCCCATCCATAAAAAAAAGTGTCTCACATGGCTCCGTGTACAACTGTTGGCGCAAGCTACATTAAAGGGATTATTACGCTTTGAATATGGATATTTTTCTTACAAAAACGCATCGATTTGCTGCAGGAGCCCTTTGTTCAACCACCAGAGCCGTGTGAGACACTTTTTTTATGGATGGGCGCTTTTTATTTAACTTCTTTTGGACTGATGCACTGCAACACCTGCTGAGAGAAACAGCTTGAAAGATCAAAGACAATTTTTAATATAACTCCGACTGGATTCGTCTGAAAGAAGAAAGTCATATACACCTAGGATGACTTGAGGGTGAGTAATTTATGGGCTAATTTACATTTTTGGGTGAACTAACCCTTTAAGGTTTATATTTAAAGTATATTTTCCCTTTTTTCCTCAAAATCATTTCAAATATCAGAACTCAACATTTGTTTTTTAAACATCAAAACATTATGTACAGTTGTGCTCATAAGTTTACATACCTCTTGCAGAATATGTAAAATGTTAATAATTGAAACAAAATAAGAGGGATCATGAAAACCGCATGTTATTTTTTTATTTAGCACTGTCCTGAATAAGCTATTTACTGATGCTCCAGAAGGCAACACGTGAGCTGGGGGTGTAAACTTTTGAACAAGATGATAATGTGTTTTTTCCCCCCCATTTTGTTAAAAGATCATATATTTTTCATTAGGTACTGCACTTTAGAAGCTACATAAATACTTAAATGTTTCCCAGAAGACAAAATAAGTACAATTTACCCTGATTATCCAATTCAAAAAGTTTACACACCCGGCTCTTAATGCATTGTGTTG